CCACTTTATATGCCGCTTGGTGAAAAAAATTAATAATATTCCACCAACTCGATTAATCTACAGACAATATAATAAAAATACTCACTTCATCATTGGCAGATATACGTCAGGTTGTTAGCATTTTTTTTTTCTTGTAGATCAATTCAATCCGAATGGTTTTTGCTTGGTCCAATATGCATAAATCCAAAATTCCTTTCTTTTCCTCGTCTACCAACTGCCATACTGACATCTAGAACGAAAATTGTATAAATTCGCGAACAAAATATAAACCAGAATCAACTTGATAGAAACTATCCCGGTGGACGAAATGATTAACCCGTTCCCAAATCAATGTCATTTCCTCAATTCCAATAATCTCTATCGTATACCAACATTTTCCATTCGAAAAAATGATTACGTAATTTTTGTTATTCGTGATATTGAACATTCCACGTTCCTACACCCGATACCAATATTTTATCGATACATAATTAAACCACGAATCGCTACCACACAGGAGCCTATTTGACGTATGTATATAGGCGCAACTCGACAAACATGGTCGAAATACTCATTCGGATATTTGGAGAACACGCGCCCGTCAGCGTATATAAAATTGCAAAATAAACAGTGATATTCCGGCACGTTTAAAGGGATTACGCAGTTAATTATTCTCGGTCGAATTGAAAGGGTAGCATACGAGAGTCGATTCGATATTACTTGTGTATCCGTACGGCGATAATCCTTTTAGTACGGAAGGAAATACCAAACCATCGATCACTCGTTACTCAATGGAAATTCTTGACGGGACAATTCAGTTCTACCAAAAATTCAATCCAAAGATCGTCATAATCCCAGCTCTTATTAGGAGATGCACACATAGAACGGCTCGGGAACTATCGTAGTCAATACCTATTCAAATTTCCTTGAAATGTTGCCTCATTTTTGGTCACCCGATGGCAGAGCTCATGAAATGAGAACTTCAGTCCAACAACAACTGAAAAGATTCATCAACTCACGTATAGTGTATGTGGTAATCAGCTGATGTCCGGGAACTCGCAGGTTGACCTAGGTGTCACTGTAACTAGCGATTTAAGTTGGTCGGAAGACATTTCGAACATCGCTATGAAGGCAAATAAATCACTTTATCTTCTCAAGAAAACATTCTCCAATCCTACGCCTGAATTAGCAAAGAGACTGTACACAACATATGTGAGACCCACGCTTGAATTTGCCGCACCAGTATGGTCCTCTTGGCTCGTGAGAAATATGAACCTTCTGGAAAGGATTCAAAGATCAGCGACTTGTTGGCCGAGATCGATACGAAACCTACCATACGAGGAACGTCTTGAAAAAATGAAGCTTACTCCTCTCCAAACACGTCTGCAAATGTATCGCGTTACACATGACTTGTTCCCTTCTCCTGAAGGAGTAGCACAAATCAGCACCGACACCCGAGGTCATCCATACAAAATCAAGAACAAATTCGAACATCCCATAGACTTCATTTCCTATCCAACAGAGCCTTTGAGGCATGGAACAAACTGCCAATGGAGGTAGTGTGTGCACCAAATATATATTCATTCAAATCAAGACTGGATTCGTTGTGCCTCTGAAACAGGTATATCTGACGCCTGAATCAAATCAAATCAAATCAAATCTGAGGTAACTGGTTCTCTTTTGTAGGAAGAGAGGTAGCCCAAAAAACAGCCTCTCAAAGATTGACAAGACTTCTTGGTGAATACGAGGTCCTCAGAAATAGTCTACACTACGTGGTCAGCCCATCATGAATCAAAGCGTAGCTGAAGAATTCGAGGTTCTTGTTAGCTTAAATCTGTAACAACTTATATTTTTTATATTGACTCGTCCACTTTCGACTAGACAAATAAATAATTCACTCATTAGTTCAATAACTTGAGAAATCTATAATCTCAATCTCTGCATGTAGTAGAAAATAGAAATTACCTGAAATAGAGTAATTTCTGTCATGTGTGAAGCTTAAAAGTGGAGATGCGATATTGTGAACATGGTATCATTTTCGAGGATCTTCTTCAGGCCTACGAAATCAACGGGACAACTCGTTGACAACGTATTTCGATGCAATGTGCGGCAATTGTTTCAATGTTCCAACGATGATATGGGTCTGGAATGCCTGTGACATTTCAGGGTATTGTATCGGCTTTCATTTTGTTTTGAATGAAACGGTATTATGTGTTTTCGAGTTACCACCGTTATTGAATTGGCCTTCATCTCTTCCGTGATATTGAAGGATAACAGGAAATCAATCAAAACAATCAGTTTCATGAAGTATATATAATCAAGAGTTTGCATTTTTGCTCGATATATTTTCACTTTTAATCCCAGCAGCAGCATTTATTCTGCTGCGTGGTAAAAGAATTTAATCAAATGAAGTTGCTTTTAATTATAATGAGAAGATGAACCCTAAGACCTATTCTGCGTAGATGTCAAATAATATTTGTCACTTAGATATAACGAAAATGTGAGAAACATTAAATAACGAATTTGTTATCTGAAATCCAATGTATTTATAGTTTTGAATTCGAATAAAACTCAAAAAAAATATGACGCACTAGTTTATTACTAAAATTATAGGAACATTAATTCGTTTTCAACTATAACATCTGATATTGTATGTCTACATAGTTTCAAATGAAAGTGACTTTTGCAAATTAATATAAAGCGCTTGATTCTTGACAGAAAAATTATCACTTATTAATTCCAGGACGTTAGTAGGCACTAACCAAATTGCTATAAGCAAAAACGTACCGTAAACAAAAAGGAACCTTCTAATTATTGGTTGAAAATGAATTTATGAAATTCCCAATGTAAATACGATGAGCCATCATCTCGTATCACTTATTTCCACAAAGCCTGGCGAAATCTCCCTTTCATCCGCTCTCCTAAATGCATTCCACCCTTTCCATACAACAACGGGGCCAAAATGGCGTGGTCTAATGCGTTTTCACCCGCCAACAAAACTTTCAAAAGCTATCATCGGCATCTCGTTCTATGCCTGTCCAGTCTCGTCTTCTACATCATTTCTTATTTTGCGGCCCAAAGCATCACCGAGCCGATCGTCGGAAAAGCCGCTTTCCACGGGAATGTGGCCTTTACGCAACCAGCAGGAACGCACCAGACTCGTCATATTCCCGCTTCGAGAAAATTCCTATCCGCTAGGGATACCGGGAACATGTATCGGATTTATGTTGTACAGACTGACAAATGATGCTCAAGTTAACTCTCGGGAAGTTTCAGCTGAGCACACATTTAGCGTGATGATATTAAGAAAGTTTTTGGGGAGTTTCGCACTCGGAAATGAAAGTAATGATGGTCGGCCGAATAAGAATGCCAAAAGTGCTTTAGAAGTCAAGCCGTTGCGAGCAACATGTCGAAGAGATTATCGAAGCTGTAGAGACGGCGACCGAGATAATTTGAGTTTTGGCGCCCAATGTGGAGGTCAACTGATCCGCTAATTCCAAAGACAACTGTTCGGCTCTGTAATAATTTCTTGTTGAAACGAAATTTGTAGAATATTCGTACTACCAAGATAATACCAACAGCACCCTTTGGACGTATATAGATGAGGGGAGATACTAGGAGACAGTTTAACCAACTAATGAAACAATGTCTTTTCTGGAAGCATTGAAGTGGAAGCAAAAAATAAGATATTCATATGATATTCTCTGTGTCTGTGATAATAGGTTTTTATTATAAAAGGGAAAATAGTAGTAGATTTTATCAGCCCGAGGTTGAGCCAAAAACCCGTGAGCTGAAATTAAATATTTTTTCCTTGTAATGATACACAATTTTTTTTTCTGTGACGGGATAAAGGACGAATCAATATTGAGCAGATATTATACATTATATTAGAATTACAATATTATCGACGTGAAATTTGAAGTTCTTAACAGTTATGAAACTTGCGTTGCAGGCATCTTTATCATTTATTCGAAGTAATCAAATATCTGTCAGTCTGATTCTGTGATTTGATTTAGAAAATTGCGAGCTCAGTGGTTGTTAAGTAATTTAAGTAACTGCGAAGTAGAATGGAAGATGAAAGGGCTTGCAGTTCTTACTCGGAAACGGTGTTATTGGCTTATTTGGAACTATTGCACAACGAAAGCCATCTGTATATATATCCGAGAAAAAAGTACTCACTTTTTTTCCGTGAAATGTTCAACTTTTGGCTACTAATGCGGGTACAACTGATCCACTAATTCCGAAAACAAAGGTTAGCATTTATATTTTCATTTTTTAACTTTGATTTTTGCGCACCTGTATCTTTTTTGTCCATATTCACTTATAGTTATTAACAATAATATAAGAAAGTTTCTATAATATTAGATTTTTTTTAATGTTCGCCACATGGAATGTATTGAAACATGCAACTGTCCATATGGCCAGAAACTTTTAATTTATATTCATTTGACACAGAAACGATATCGGGTGCGGTGCATTTTCTATATTTAACTAACCATTTCCTTCTGGAAAAAATTGTTGGGAAAACTTTTCCACAAGAGGTGACAATTTTTCAATTACCTTTTTGCCACCCAAAATTCAATAACTTAGTGTACTTTACCTGATATCTGACGGTTATTAATAAATTGCGCCCAACTTGAAGTGACAGTTTTCCCACTCTCTTTTCGTATGAAGTTATAAACTTTTCCCGATAAAATTCCATAACTAGAGGTATTTTACGTGATGTGTGATATCCCGTCGCCCGATCTATCAAAATGGCTCCTCACCGAGAGTTGAGCAAAATAAGTTTTCGCGAACTCTGGAGGTGTTTCGGGTCGTTGGGAAAGTGAGAAACAGGATTGATGCGAGCTCATACATCATACACGGCGAGCGCCTTTTCCCCCAAAACTATGTGTCACACGGTTCAGAAATAAATTCGCCGGGATTAAATTGGATTTTTCATCAGAATTTTCATTGGAGTTGATGTTCTGGTGCCTCACATGGTATTCGGTTTCGGCTATGGAATTGTGTTTATTTAATGGCGCCCAACGAGGGGTTCCTATAAGATCTAAAGTAATATTTCTTTTTTTTTTCAGGGTCGATGTAACAGAGAAAAGCCACCCTGCAAATATTTCCACCCCCCGCAGCACCTGAAGGACCAGTTGTTAATAAACGGAAGGAATCACTTAGCGCTCAAAAACGCTCTCATGCAGCAGATGGGCCTATCACCTGGTCAAGCTTTGGTTCCTGGACAAGTCCAGGCAGTGGTGAGCCTATTTTTTTGCTTTCAACGGGCTTGTTATTTGTTAATTTATTTTTCGATGGCATAAGAGAGAAACGGAAATTCATAGTGTGAGCAAAGGTGACTCACTCTTACAATACCGAAATAGCATCTAGGACAGAATATATCTCACTAAGTGATACTTCAACTTGCCTAATAATAAATGAAAATATGGGTTCGATAGTATGCTTTTCATATATCATTTGAAATTTAACATTTTTCAAAGTGACACTTTGTGATACAACATTAATCTAGATGCTAGATGATGCTCTCGCAGAAAGTTGAAAATACTCACATCTCCAAGATGAATGTCTGACGATCTAGCGATTAATGAAATTAATTCAGATAAAAATGGTTTTGTGTGATTCGTTTCTGTTCGGATGCATCAACATCTCGATGACGAAAGTATGAATAAATATATCAACGAAACGTTTCAGTGGAGACTGGTAATATCAAACAGATTTTAATAGGTTCGTGTGTTTATTTTTAGAGCCCTGTAATCTATACGCTCTTTCGGCGTGCTTCAACCGTATGTTCTTCTTTGACGAATATATAATCTCATCATTCAGAGATGATTAGATGCTTGGCAACTGTTTCAGTTTCTGAGGACTAGTAATTCAATCTCATGAATTTCAACGAATATACCTTCAAGAAGTTGGGCCTAATTTATTATAGAGAAATTAATACCTAAACTTAATGTGCAGTTTAAATGGAAAGTCTTCTACAAAGACATTTCTTGAAATCTGAGGGTCTTAAGAAGAAATCTGAGGTTCTAAGAAAAATGTTTATGGATTACTTTTTGTTTTGCTTTCATGAGCAGCAGTTCTTCTTGAAATTTGAATTCATGCACAGGGTATCCCATTTTTTATGTCATTTGGAGATCACATTTATTTTTGAAGATAGGGATCGGTGGTTTTATTGTGAAACCCACGATACCGCGAACAGAATTTCCATAGCCCGCTTCCTATATGAGAAGCACTACCAAATTACACTTTGGGAGCTCCCCTTAAGCTAATTTTTAATACTTAAATATAAATCTCTATCCTTAAAAATAAGCGAGAAGACAACGAAAATGGGACCTATGCGTACTGCCCAAATGATTCGTAATATTCAGAAACAGCGAGCAGTTGGAATAGATAGTCTGGGTGCATAAACCGAATATTTAAATGTAATTTCACAGGAGTCGTTATGAATTATTTGGGCAGCACTGTACATACTTTTGGGTATTCAACATTTTCCGATCCTCTCTTATTGACATCGAAAAGTTTCACTTGGTTTGCACGTAAAGTGAAGCACGATTTAATAAATTCGTTTGTTGAACTAATTTTATGTAAAAATATTATTGCGCTGCACGGAAGCGCATGATCTTGGTGCAGGCCTTTTATTATTATTATTATTATCATAAATTTTCGTATTCTCATTATTATTTTGTATCGTTTGTGGTGTGGTATACTAATTTTTTGATGGTTTTTGTATTGGAGGTGGATACGCCAATAGACTGCCTACCCTTGACCTACTTCCCACACTTGTCTATGACAATTGAAGAGCAGTACGCACTTATGGTAAACACTCACCCTTTACATATGCTCCCTTCACAATGCTTTCTATTCCTCTTTCATTCATCCTAGAAATGCGTCTTCGTATATTGTCAATAACAATAAGGAAAATGTCAAAATTCTCACAAAACCTCTGTTGAGAGTCATTTCCGGTTTCTTTTCAACTCAACAGTACGTATACATAAAAAATGGAGAATTATAGCTCATTGCATAATAGTTATTTACACTACAAGGGAGGCAAGTGATACTTACCAGTCGAGGACATTGTTTGCGCCCGAGCGAAAGCGAGGGCTTGCAAAATAGTCCGAGACTGGTCAAGAACACTGCCTCCCGAGTTTTGTATTATATTTTTTCTACTCCAGTTCCCTTAGATTAAAAAAAATGTTTTGCAATTACTTATATAATTTGACTAATCTAACTGAAAAACCCTGTATGTATGACAGGTTTCCTAGTGTTACACGTTGATCGCTATGGAATTCATATTGTTTATAATCAAACAAATGTTCTGTCAGTGTCATTTTATTAAAAAAATCGAAATAATGGATATCGATGCAGTTGCGAATGCAGCTTGTGCTGCTCTATTACCTCAGAAATCGAAGGAACGGTACAATCGGTGTTACAAGGACTTCAAGGCTTGGTGCAGTAATATTGCAAGTGGTGAAAGCATTACCGAGAACTCTTTGCTGGCGTACTTTGTAGAGAAGTCACAGACCCTTAAGTCCCCTGCAAGTTTATGGAGTGAGTATTCGATGCTAAAATCGACGTTATCCATTCAAGACAATGTAGACATTTCCAAATTCCTTAAACTAAAGGCGTTTTTGAAGAGAAAAAATGATGGCTATAAGCCAAAAAAGTCTCAAGTTTTCACGCGAGAAGAAATAGAAAAATTTTTTACAGAAGCCGACGATAGAAGTTTTTTATTAATGAAGGTAGTGATGGTCGTCGGGATTGCTGGAGCATGCCGCTCACAAAAAATTATGCGATCTGAGTGTAGAGAATGTCCAGGAAATGGAAAATTTAATTATAATCAATATACCTGATTCAAAAAATGGTACATCTAGAAGATTCACCATCACTGCAGACAAAGACAGTAAAATCTGCCATTTAAACATTTTTAAAAGATATCTTAAAATAAGATCGTTGGTTGAAAGATCCCAACAACGCTTTTTTTTGAGATACCAAGAAGGCAAATGCTTGAATCAGCCTGTGGGAAAGAACACTTTTTCAGCTATTCCCACAAAAATAGCAAAATTTCTCAGACTGCCTAACGCTGAAGCTTATACCGGCCATTCGTTTAGAAGAACGTCTGCCACATTATTAGCTAACACTGGTTCAAGTGTTTTAGCTCTTAAAAGACATGGGGGCTGGAAGTCGGAGACGGTTGCTGAAGGTTATGTTGCTGATAGTCTTTGCAATAAGAACGAGGTGGCAAACAAAATTCTTTATAACAAGAATAACAGCGATTCAAATTCATCTGCTATTCATCTGCCTACCACATTGACCAGCGCTGTAACAAGAATTTCTGATAACATAAGCATAACAGTAGAAGTGTCCAAACAGCTGCAAGAGGTTTCCCCACATTTTTCAAACTGTAATTTTTCAAATTGTACTATAAATGTTAATTTAAAATAAAGAGTTCAATTTTTAGGTTAAATTATGAAGTTTATTTAACTTGCTTCCCTAGGGAGGTAAATATTTACTTACCTCCCTAGGGAGGTAGAACGTGTTTTCCTCCCTCAAATCAGTATCAAAATGAAGTACTTACCGAGTAAGGAGTAGAAAAAAATGTTTATCTGATGGCATGTCATAATGACAACATTATGTCACTCAATTTTGATGACATAAGGAAGCTCATTATGGTACTAAGTACCATAATGAAATTCTATAAGGAAAACATGTAATGGTTTGATCAAAAAAGTTTATTCAAAATGCATAACTATGTACAAAACTATTTATTATAAATGGTAAAAGAACAATTACTACAATTTGTAATATTAATATAATGGCAAAGCACAGCTCACTCACCTACTAATATTTGGAACTACACAATACTTACTCCTTTAAAAATAGTTGTCATTGTGACATGTCGAAAATGCAGTTTTTAATTTTTCGAAAATGTATTGATATAAATGCCATCAGATAAAATTTTGTATGTAATACGAATCATAAACAATCATTATGGCACACGCCGTGTTATCGGACTCGGCTACGCCTCGCCCGATAACATTCACGACTTGTATCAAATGATCGTCTTTATGATCCTTATTACATAAATAACTATTTTCTACCACTAGCTATAATACCTACCATTATAGCTATTATCTCATATTTCCATATCTTATTTTCGAATTCCTGTAATTGACTTGTTATTCGACGGTTTTGTGAGAATCTTGACGCTAATATTCAAAGTCAAAATTATCCGCTACTAACAACCTAATCACTTCATCATTTTGCATGCGGGCATCTATTGATGGGATGCTTTGAATAATGAATCGCTCATATCATTTGACGTTTCGCTGTTGTTGCTGTTGCTTTGCATTCTGCCTCTATGCTAGTTTCTACCCAACCTCTGTGAAAACTCACACAATGATTCGTTTGAAATTTGACAGATATATGCACGTTTACTCATGAGAAGTTCACGAAAAACGGTATCTGAAACGGTGATTCAATCGTTGGACGAGAACCAGTAACAACAAAATATCAAAAATTGATAATTAATCATCGAGTCGTCCAAAGATCTAAAACACTATTTCACAATCATATCACATAATCGAACGACTTGAAATGGAAATGATTTTGAACGGTATTTTTCGTGTAAATATAGAAACGTGGCTGTCGATGTGTCAAAAAGTGAGTATCGTACGCCATTTCTTCTTCCGTAATTGATCAAGATCAATTTGTAAAAGTGACCTTGAAAGTGACGTTCAGGAATATTGTAAAACTTATTTGCGTTTTTTTTCAATTATGGAAGACATGTTCAACAACTCTATGCACTAAGGTTGTCACAATATTCAACCGACAACCGAACTAGGCGGGAACATTTTTATAAGCTCCTATATAGACAGAGCTAAGTTGAAAATTGTCTTCTGATAAATAACTCAAAAACGGCTAAATTTTTCTTGATAAATTTCGATATGTGATTTTCTCAACAAAATGGAACAGAGAATTCAATTAATTAGAAACAATCCTAATTCTATCAGTGAAGTACTGAAATAGAAAATATGAGAGGAAAAGATTTCTCAACCTAATGTAGCACGACACTGGATGGAGTGTCTGAAATTATTTTTTTGACAGAAATTGATGTATAGAAATATAAAACCATATACTGAAATCGAATGCAAAAAATTCAACCGTTCTCGAGATATTTTAATAAACCAGAACGTATCTCTAGCACTAAGTTCTTGTTGATAACTTTATCATCTCCGGAATTGGTGACGTCCCTATAGATATATCTATCGAATTTCGAAAAAACTTGTCATTGTCAGAGTTGCTCACTAAGGGTGGGCCCACACTACTCTGAAACACCCAGACAGTACCACAAGCTCTGGTTATACCAACAAATCTTTGAAATCTCAATGTTTTCAGGAGGTTATAAGGTAATATGATGAAGGAAAATATCATTTCTGCATGGAAAAGGAGACTACTTTTAACCTACGGACTCGTAATTTTTTCAGAGGCAGAACAAAGTGAACAGGCCACTTTTACAGCTTTCAAAAACTCCGATAGATGGCGTACGCTTACTTTCTAGCGTGAATGTATACTTCCAAAGTTTTGAATAAGTTAGAAAGAGATGGCTTTGAAAAATGGCACCGCTGTAAATTGTTAGTCAATGTTGAATGATATTAATCATAATCATGATAAGGGTTTTATTGCCCAATAAAGCTATGCCAACGTATCAAATTTGATTAAAATCTCAGCCGATTCAGAGTTATGAAGAAAAACAATTCGTCAGAACCGTCTAGCTTTCAAACTAAACAACTTCCTACTGAGGGAAGTTTGCTTGTATCCAATTGATTTGTTATGACCTTTCAGGCACACCCTGTATAATTATTGTATGATTAATGTTTCCCTCGCTTTCAAACACAGACGGTAGATCTACACCTTTTCAACTTCAATTTCGGAAAAAGTAATCTCGATTTCAGAATTGGTTAGTTCGATTTCAGAAATGGTAAACTCAATTTCAGAATCGGTGAGATGAATTTCAGAAAAAGTCCATTCAATTTCAGAAATGGTAAGTTGTATTTCAGAATTGGTAGGTTCAATTTCAGAAAAAAAATCCTTATATTTGTTCGAAATGTTTCCAATTGTATGTGAGATTAACAAACCATATTCACAATATTCAACTTGTCAAAAACAATTCAATAACATAATTATAATCTTAATTTAATCCACCAGATGCCTTCCATCCGAATCGCTGGAAGATAATAGCGTTGCACATGATTATGAGAATGCAAACACATTTGAGGTGTTATCATTTTCATTGAATGATCTACACATTCCTCAAGACATCGCAGTCTGAATTCTATCTGGTTGAACAAGCTGTTCGGATCCCCAGCTATGACCCTTTGGCGATGCTCTTGCAAGAAGCTCTTCACTTCTGACTTGAAGGCACCCCATACATGTTCAATCTGATTCAACATAAGGCTCTCAAACACCGTTCATCCACTGTAAACACTCTTCTCTTTTGCAATTAAGAACATTTCAAACATATAAAAGGATTTCATCTTCTGAAATTGAACCTACCAATAATAATTCTGAAATACAACTTACCATTTCTGAAATTGAATGGACTTTTTCTGAAATTCATCTCACCGATTCTGAAATTGAGTTTACCATTTCTGAAATCGAACTAACCAATTCTGAAATCGAGATTACTTTTTCCGAAATATAACTCACCGATTCCGAAATTGAGGTTGAAAAGATATAGAGCAATCCGCAAAAATTTGTCATCATCGTTTTCTGCTGAAAACGATGTTGGATCAGGACGCAATGTAAACAATTTCGTCTCCCCTCTTTTTATATGTCTATGCTTGTGGGTGACGTCACTGGACCTCGAGATTTCAAAGATTCGTCGGTATGCCTAGACGCTTGTGACCGTACCCACGTAACTCCCGTTTTCGTACTTTCCAGGCCGCCAATCCCTATCTCACAGGCATGCCGCAAGTGGGCAGCACATACAGCCCGTACTTCGCGACCGGGCCCATGATGCCGACGATAATGGGCCCCGATCCGACGGGCGTCGGGTCGCCCTTGGGCGTCGTGCCGCAGACCGTCGTGCAGCAGAAGATGCCGCGCTCCGACAGATTAGAGGTATGGCGTCCGGTTTTCGTACGGTTACCGTACTTAGTCGATCCGTACGGTGGTTTGCCGTACTTCTTAGATCAGTTCGGGGATTTTCCGTACTGATCGGTCGGATTTAGATGCGGAGAAACGCGGTTCGTGTTGCAGTGGTGGGTTTGTTCGACGATTGAATGTTGAGACCAAAAATTAGGTGATGGTTCCTTGCTGAGTGTATTAGATTTTGACAATATGTTACTAGTGAAGAAGTCTTATCAGCAATAACAGTATACAGTCTGTCCAAGATAAGGTTGAACAGCATGGGGATCTCGAAAACGGTAGGAGATACGAAGTCGCTTAAATGGGGAAAAAGTTGCGCATTCGGAGGCTCATATCAAGAGCCTTCGAAAATTTTGAAAATTATTTTTAGTTTTTGAGTTATATCGAAAAAAGTGAATTTTTGGAATTTCTATTTTATTTTTTTTTTCTCCGTTATTATTAGCGATACAGCAAAACTGAGAATACTCTCTCATAGCAACTTTTGATGACGGTCAACGTGGTGATACCGATTTTTTCATGCGACGTTTCGTATTCGTGGAACCATCATCAACTTTTGTTTTTTAAATACGGTTCTGATAATTTTTTCACAGATTCTAAAAGGTTTTTTTATTCTGATTTCAACCATGTATTATACAAGGTGGTTCATTTGTGTTTCGACCTATTTTTGGCCATCATCAATGTTTTTTCGAAACTCCAAAGGAAAAATGCCATCAGTTCCACTTATTTTGAAGGAAAATTAGTCAACACACTAATACCTCATCAACTCGTTTCAATCAACAACCCATTTCATTATGCGGAAACAAAAATTCCATCCATACAAATTCAGAATATGTCAAGCGCTAAAACCAGGCGATGACGAAAGGCGCAAGACATTCTGTGAGTGGTATACCAGGAAATGTTAAAATTTTGCAGATTTCTTTCCAACAATCATCTGGACTGATGAAAGCATGGTCACTAATCATGGTAGCTTCGATAGAAAAAATACACATTATTGATCACGAGAAAATGAACATTAATACATTACAGCGAGACACCAACACCGTTTCGGCTTTAATATGTGGGTTGCAATATTTGGTACACGAATTATTGTTCCTTCTATTTATCATGAAACACAGACTTCCGAACGTTATAGAAATTCGCTTGAGAATCATCTTGAGGAAGCTCTGGATGATTTACCGATTGCGGAAGTTCAGAACTCTGTTGGTTTCAACAAGATGGCGCTCCGGTACATAATTCCAGAGAAGTCCGTGCGTTTTTATCCCTTGGCCGGCGCGGTCGCCTGATTTGACACAGCTGGATTTTTTCTTAGGGGATATATCGAACTTTGTACACGCAAATAACTTTGAGGATGAAGAAGAACTGAGGGACAGTGTCTTCGAAGCATTCAATAGAATAACCCCAGAAATGCTTAGCAATGTCTTAGAAACAACTGTGAGAAGAGGATATCTTTGTTCAGAAAATAATGGTTATCATTTTGAACATTTGTTATGAATGTCTCTGTAGGTATTGTCAAAGTTAAGTTGTTAACGAGGTTGTTAAAGTAATTCGTGTAAGAATTCATCAACAATTTTAAACGCTGCATTGATCGAATGATGTAGTGAAATATTTTTTATTCACTTTTCAGTATTGAATAACTAATCCATCAAGTTTGACACTAAATGATCAGAAATAAGTGGAACTGATGGCTTTTTTTCTTTTGGAAGTTCGAAAAAACATTGATGATGGATAGAAATCGGTCGAAACACATTCGAATCACCTTATCTAGTACATTGTTGAATTCAGAATAAAAAAACCTTTCAGAATCTGTGAAAAAATTATCAGGACCGTATTTAAAAAACAAAAGTTGATGATGGTTCCACGAATACGAAACGTCGCATAAAAAAATCGGTATCACCACGTTAAACCTCATCAAAAGTTGCAATGCAAAAGTATTTTCAGTTTTTCTGTATCTCTGATAATAACGGAGAAAAAAAATAAAATAGAAATTCCAAAAATTCACTTTTTTCGATATAACTCAAAAACTAAAAATAATTTTCAAAATTTTCGAAGGCTCTTGATATGAGCCTCCGAATGCGCAACTTTTTCCCAATTTAAGCGACTTCGTATCTCCTACCGTTTCCGAGATCCCCATGCTGTTCAACCTTATCTTGGACAGACTGTATACACCTTTTCCAATGGTAATTCAGAAAGTATGATTTGTTATTAGAGGTTTGGCGACGGTTTTCGTACGGTTACCGTACTTCGTCGATCCGTACGGGGATTTTCCGTACTGATCGGTCGGATTTAGATGCGGAGAAACGCGGTTCACGTTGCAGTGGTTAGATTGTTGGACAATCATTTTATGTTGAGACCAAAAATTAGGTGATGGTTCGTTGCTGAGTGTATTCAATTTTGACAATATATTACTAGTGAAGAAATTTTACAGCAATCACACTATATACACCTTTTCCAATCGTAATTCAAAAAGTATAATTTGTTATTAGAGGTTTAGCGACGGTTTTCGTACGGTAACCTTACTTCTTGATCGGTCGAGTTTAGATGCGGAGAAAAGCGGTGGCGTTGCAGTGGTGGATTTGTTGGGCAATTCGAACTAAAATTGGTGATGATTCAATGCTTAATGTATTTAGTTTTGACATTAGAAGTTTTTTTGGCACACCTTTCCGTACTGATCAGTCGATATACAAAAAACGCGATATCGATCAATGACTGACCCCTGATTTATAGATTCATTGACGCGACTAACGCATGGTTTTTGCAAGACGTTACACGACGAAATTGAAAAAATAGGACAATTCCATGAGTATGAATAAAAAGTCCTATTTAGTGGAACGTTATTCATCAGATTCTGAGTGAAAACAACATATATCCCTTATTTTCGCCTTGAAAATACTTGCGTCACGTTGCGTTATTGAATCTATAGATCAGGGGTGAGAGAACAATGTGTTTTCGTCAATGCTAAATGTATCGTTCCTGGAATCCAAGTTACACTTTCAGAAATACAATTTTCAAATATGAATTTCGAATTATACTTTCGAATTATAATGAATTATTCTTGAATCACAAGTTAGACTTTCTGAATCACAATAATCGTTGCAACTTATCAGGATTTATTTATTTATTTATTTATTTTTATTTTTATTTTATTTATTGAACAAATAACTTCCAGACAGAATAGGCTCTGGTATAAGGAAGTACATAATTATATACCTATAGGTAAACATAGCATCATTCAAAATATATCAACAACTGTAAATTGGCAAACAAAGAATAATATTTGTAAAAAAAAAAAAGAAAAAAAAAAAGAAAAATGGCATGATTAATTTTATCCAGTCCGCTCAGAAATAATCAGTTTTTTTACTTCATTTTTGAATATACCTATATTTCTGCAATTTTTTTATATTATCAGGTATTTTATTGAATTCAGTTAAGGCTGAATGAGTGAATCTTTTTTGTCCGATTAGGGAGCTAGCGGCGTCAAGATGGAACAAGTTATATTGTCTAGTTTCATGATTATGAATTTCAGAATTCCGTATCAAAATAATATTCGACTTCAATTTTTTATTTATGATATTATATGATATTTTGAGAGTTTCAATTCTATATATTTCATCTAAAGAATACGTATTTGTTATTTCATACAATTGATTGGTTGGTGTATCAAATGGGAGACGATACAATACTTTTAACGATTTTCTATATAATGTTGATATTTCATTGAAATTATTTTTTGAACAAGATCCCCAAACATTTATCAAATAGTTGATGGCTTCGACAACCAGAAACGGAGACATTGTCATTTTGTATCCACCTATGTTGAGGCAAATACAATAGTCCTTCGTATATCACTGTTGCTACTAAAAACAACAAGCACGATTTACACAACGTATTCAACTATAGGGCAGACATCGTATAACCAAATTGAGTAAACAGACCCCAGAACTTATCGAGTTGGAAAAACTTTGCTCGAACTAGATCGGCAGGTTCAATGTATTTTTATTCAGTGAGTTGAGGCATGATAAGACTTCTTCACTGTAGACTAATCATAAGAGGATGAGGATACAATGAAAAAATCCGAGAGATCTTCAAAAACTTGTTGTCGGGCAATAGAAACAGAGTCCAAAGATTTCCAGTGGCTATTGCCTTATAGCGATTTGTGGCATTCGATGTATTATTTTTCGATATCACTATCAAGAAAATTGAATCGAACATCTACCTTGAATTATTCTTGAGGCAATAATTCCTACTATGATAATATTTTGATCGGCAAAGACGTAGATGAATGACTCATGAAGCGAAATAATTTGTTTCATTCCTTGTTCATTTTAATATTCACCCAAATTTATTGGTCTCAATGTTCAATAGTTGAATTATGCCAAAACTGCACGATGTCGAACCTGATTCTTTCGAATCAATATTCAATTATCTCAAGAACCACACCATGAAGGGCATTATTGGAAGATACTCACCCTATGTGTTTTTTATTTATTTAGTTGCTTTTCATCATTTATTATTCAAGTTTGTTTCTACTATTGTAACGTTTATCTTTATCTTCTATACTACTAACGTATATACTAATTGTTACTTTTACGGGACGTTGGAAATATATAACTTTCATTGACGTATAAGGTTATCTCTTTTCTTTATTATTTTGGTTGTTTTCTTTTCTTTTTTTTATTTCGCAGGTAATTTGGATAAAATAACGCTTGGAACTTAGTAGTTCTAAGGTAAATAACAAATGAACACTAACACTTTTCACACACAAATTGTGCTAACCCAGCAATAGATGTAGTTGAGTCCTACCCCCCGTGTGTAAATACGTATTTTGTTTCTGTACGATTCTCCCACACAATTATTGAGAAAGGGTTGAATCGAGAATGTTCAATTATCAGTACATTGTGCAATTCTACCCTTTCCAGTAGCCTCTTTAGCTGTACATACAATCAACTGTTAGTCTCGTTTTCTTATTATTACCTTTTTCGAGCACTTATAACTTTCTATCGATGATTTCTGACTCTGCACGGTGTGCCTACTTTTATCGTTGGATTTTTACCCTGTGTAGTCGTTAGTCCCCCTTTGTCTTTTTGTCAGTCGCTCGCTTTTTTCGATAGAAAGTTATTGATTCGTTGGATGATCATTTGGTTTTTCGATTCGGTTCTCCAGCTCCTTGCCTGTACCCTAAGTGCATTTAGCACCCTTGGCCATTGATCATTCCACTTCCCTCTTTTTTCTCTCCTCTCCCTTCCTCCTGACAGATTTTTGACATGATCCAATTCATCTATCCTTTTCATTACCCTATTAAAGTTGTTGGTACATTTTGTTATGAGCTCTTCGAGACTGTTCGAAAAACCAGGTAATGATGCAAATGCTATAGCTCATTTTTCGTTTCTCAAACTGCCTTGTTTAGATACCCATCCTTATAGTTCACTTCTGCTTTACCCATATCACAAGTATCGTAGTTGATAAATTATTCTTGTCGTTTTTCATCTTCATCGGATGTCTACGCATTCGGTTTATTAATATTGTCACATGTTAGACAATGGAGTAAGTACTACTTTGGGACGTGAACGATGATATACTTGCAAATATTTTCAGGAACATTTCAAATTTATATTGCATACTCTGCCCTCGTGTAGGAAGACCCGAAACTATTTAACTGAACATGTGATGGAGAGGGGGGTATTTCCGAACAATTATTTTAAATATGTTTTTTCGCAGACTTATCTTTGGTGTTACTTGTATCACGATAAACAACTTTGCATACAATGGGTAAGTTTCCTATATTGAGGTTTTTATCTCTCTGTGAAGTTTGTAAAAAATTAATATATACGTATTGTTTCTTTTTTTCGTGAGATCAAATTCCACTTCAAAAAAAAAATAGGAACTTGGCTCCTTAACCATTCCTATGACGTACTTTCTGAAAATCCACATTCACACAGAGTTGAAATACGATTCCCTGTGCCAGTACGACGTTGCCGACATCATCAATATGTCTAGATTTCCGGAAACTGTTCTTTGAATGCATAATAACTAATAACTCATAACAGCAATGGGATATAATAGATTCTTCAATCCTACTTTGTCAAGTATTATGAATAATTCACATAAATCTCTCATTGGTTGAATGAAATTGATTACTTATATTATAAATTATGATATTTTGCGATAGTATCTATAATTTTCACTATCGTTATGTTACAATATATTATTCATAACTTGTCAGTCAGTTTTTTGCTAATGAATTCGTTCCTCTATAGAACGGATCTATTTTCTAGGAAAGTTGCAGATTATATCTTGCAACAGCGCCTAATACTTCGAGTCCGTCCACACCACTCAAAATACTGACAGGCACAACAAGAGGAAGGAGCCATGGGTGTCGGCTTCATTCTGTTTCGACGGATTGCAGTAATTAAGGAAGGATAGTAACATTGAATGTAGCCGATAGTGATTCATTGATTCAATATTTTAGTTTAGGATCGAGCTCTATTCGAGATATTTCAATGCATAAATAACAAAACCATAACTTGTCAGAATGAAGCCAACTACCTTTTGCATTCCTGCTCCGAGTGCATTTGTGGTTATGTATGTTTTTGTTCACCAGTTTTCCTTCTTCTATTTTTTTCAATCGTTTTTCATTCGTTAGCTATTCGCTAGCTATATTCCTCACCATCAGCTATTTTCAGACTAGATTCAAATGAACGTCGCAGTTTGCCGCCCCGAAAATTATAAATTGCTTCAATTCAAAAATGAAAACGACTTGGGACCTCATCGGTCGCCATTCTGTACAGCGGGGACATAAAACTGGAGAGTTCCGAACTCATTTTATGAAAATTCATCTGAAGGAAACTTCCCCATTGTGGCGTGCATATGCGCTGTTGTAATTTTTAAAATATACACTGGTTTTTGTAATCAATTTTCAATGCAAATTCAAATTTGATTGGTGACGCCGCTGCATGCGAGCACAAATTGATCATTGTTCTAGGACATGTTGTTGAAAACCCATGAAATCGTTACTTGTCATCTTTCCATTTTCAGAGGCTGGTCAGTAAAATGAAATGTTCTTGCAATTTGAATATTTGCCTGTGTATATATTTTTCACACCCCGTTCGAACAAATCGAAGATATCAATAAGAATTCGCAACAGTCTTTGTCGAATTAAGACTAGAAGGATGGTCTATCGAGCACACCGCAGTATGGGAACACCGGAAAACAGAGCCGAAAAATTGAAAAAAAAAAAGCGAATCGCAGCGGGGCGGCTTGCGCTGCAGCGCCAATCTGACGGCGCGTAAATCGTCTGCCTGTAGGTGTGCCGCGAGTACCAGCGCGGCGCGTGCAAGCGAGCCGAGTCGGAGTGTCGCTTTGCGCATCCCGCCGACTCAGTGACTGCCAACGAGGACGGCACTGTGACAGTCTGCATGGACGCCGTCAAGGGCCGCTGCAACCGCGACCCCTGCCGCTATTTCCACCCCCCTCTGCACCTCCAAGCCCAAATCAAGGCCGCACAGTCGCGGGCTAGCGCGGTATGCTACGCAGTCTTAGTGCGCACGCTCGCTCGCTCGCTACTTCTTCGTTCTATTATTTTTTTTTTTAGTTTTTTTTTTCAGTTTCTGTCTTGTTAATACAGGCAAATGGTACTTTCACGTTCCAAAAAATCCACTAGTCGGTTTTATCATCGTCCCGATGTTTTTTGGGTTGCTGAATCCGAATCATGCAATCGGGTCGATTCTGATAATATGTAACAATATTGATATGCAATTATGTATTCTGTTTGGACAGTAACTGCATGGTTGGTTATGAGTTCGAGTGATAGCAATATTGTTGAAAAATTTGGAATTTTCGAGCTGACAACACTGTTTCTATTTCATTTGTTGAGTGTTAAGTATCTTTATTGCCATTATTTTATGAAGAAGAATAGTTTTTTATTATCTAACCTCTAGCCTTTAAGACTTATCTCACTCCCAAGTTAATCTGTCTCGCACGGACATTTTTCAAAATTATTATTCAAATTAACGTGATTTTTTTTGGAAAACAACCTGATTCATACAACCTGAAAAACTCACGTTGCTGGCTTATTCAAGCGGATTAGCTCGATAAACTATCCATCAGGCAACTCAAATGGTTGGTTATTTTCTCTCCGATATGCCGAAATTGTATACTTCCTCTATACAAATTGGAATTTCAAGGAAAGGTTTTCAAGTAGTTGGTCACACGAGTGAAACCTTGTTTATAATCACCTGTTTTCTGAATTTTTCAATAATCTCTTCACGAATTGAAACTTTGAGGAAAAGTTGTCGAGTGATAATAACACAAGTACATTTTCAAACATACAAAAACAGATAATCACCCCTTGTTATAGGATAGCAAGCACAACATTGATGTTGCCGATATAGCAAGAAATCTGACCAGATGTCATTGAAATTGACAGATCAAATTGCCAAAATTGAAGATTAGAATTCCACTTTTTGGAATCTTACTATGGTGGCAATATCTTCTCTATAACCATATTGCTATTTGCAAACAGAATCGACCCGATTATCCAACATTACCTGGTGCGTTTTCAGTTATACGCAAAAAACAGCGAACTTTTTGCACTTTTTTTAGTGTTTCGCTTATAATTACACAAAGTAGGTATTTGTGGTATCGAAAAAAATTAATCACACCTGAATTCATATAAAAAATTCCTGGCGAACGAATGCAACAAAACTCGCATGATCTCATTAATCATGGCGAAATCAACCGAGACCAAAATTGTGTCATATCAAGCGGAGAAGAATCCTGACAAACTGATTGTTACCACAGCTATATCATCTTATCACATTTCAGTGGCTGTTGTATGATGTTGATAGGCTTGTCAGCCCCAGTAAATGTCTTGCTTCCTCAAACCAGGAAAAGGGAGCCCTTTTTAAGTGGTTTCATCCAATCACAGATGTGAATGAAATACTTTCTCAACACATCCTCTTTAAACCAAGGAAAGGTGAACACTTTCAAAACCTTCGATAAAAACTCCGACCTTAGCCTTCCTTTGCTGCCCTGCAAATTTGATCACAAAAACATTGATATCGACATCTTCACAGGCGGTGAAAAATTTATAGGTGCTTTGAGGTCGTAACAAGCAACCTAGAGGGGCTGCGGTACAAATTTTCTGTGTCTACAACTTATGAATCTCCTTCTAATATGCCTCAACTAGAGCTGCTGCACACCAACATTTTCTGCGCGTTTTTGTGCAAGTGTAGCTATGGATGGATCAACCAGTTTCATGGAAAGAGCCGGAAAAGTTTGGGTGAAGGCAAACGAGCAACGGTCTATTACTTCCTAACCAGCCCCCATGCGTTGCATGCAAGTGCAAAAAAGTGCGTGAAACGGCGAAACGAATATCTCAAAACGCACCTGGAAATTTTGTTGGATAATTCCAGGCCCTAATTCAGCAATCCGAAAAACATAGGAAACGATGATTAAACCAACTACCGGATTTTTTACAAGGAGAAGGCGTATTTCGATACCGCGTGCCTGGATTATGTTAGCCATTTGTATTTTTATTTGGACAGTCTCATATCAGGTATCAGCTTTCCTAATGATGAAGAAAGTCATCTATTTATTGCTCTCATTCCGTGATTTTCACATCCAAATCATCGATATTTTTCCAACAGAAACCTTGAAGTCTTTCAGGCATTGACGTATACCACCACACATACCACATTGAAAAACTCTAATGGTGTTTTAGAAAACTCACTCTGGGTTAATGACTCGATCCAGAGAGGTCACGTGATATAAAAACTTGGATCACCTACTCGTGTTCAACGTTTACGAACGTGTCGTTATTTGAATAAATTGGTAATACGCAAGAGGTGTCTTTTGCGACTATGGCGACTTTGCTTTTGAGTAGGGCCACGAAAAATAAACCCGAGTCAGTTATCGAGTAAGCAAGTTTGCGAACATTGGTAGATGACTCGTCTTACTAGGACCAACGAGGCACTACAATTATCTGGAAAAAAAAATAATAAAAAAGGGAACTGAAAACTATTTCAGGCATTGAAGTATGCTACCTCAGATACGATACTGGAGAACTGAAAACGGTTCTTACATTGCACTGCATATTATGAAATATATCAAGCATTCACGTATAACACCTCACATACGATATTGGAAAAACAAAAATATTTTTCTTGAACTCACTTATCATGAAATATTTCGAATTGTGAATGATAGTTCAAATTCAATTAATTGAATAAAAATTCTATTTTGGATCTCCACGAGTGAAATAAAATATTATTTCATAAAATGTGAGTAAGATATCGTACAAAATATGATATCGTAATCATAAAATTTCATTCATACAACGGGCTCCGAAAGCTTCATAGATACTGTTTAACTGAAAACGAAAAATATTTCAGGCATAGACTTATGCCACCTCACATACAAATATAATTTGAATCCTATTGGCTCCATAAAATGAGTCACGCGCAACTTTGTATATTCTAACAGATTCATTTAGTGGTTGGTATATGCGACACACTTGACATCATTGGAACACCGTTAGAAAGTCAGTGACCTTTCACTTTCCTGTTGATTTTTTCACGGGATATGTTTTTCAGAATCCAGACAATTGAAATTCTGTTCAAATTTAACGAATAACGGAAGCCTCATTGAAGGTGTTTCACTAAAAAGTAAAAATATTTGTGTTCAACACGAAAAATATTTCGTACATTGACTTATGCCACCCCACATGCCATTCCAATATGGCACATACTTCTTCAAATCCGTCTCAATTAGGTCATCTCCATGGAAATAATTGTTTCATGAAATGTGAATCATCAACGTTCAAGGCGTCATTTGAATAAACGCTTCATGGGAAGTGTGACAACAAAAATGAGGAATGTTCTCAACGTTGTTTTAAATCGCCACAATCTTATAACAATGATTCTCCCAGAGACTGTCGCATTTATCTGGATTGCCGTTTTTTTTGCAAGCTTAATGCCTAATTGTGTTTTGTGGTTTCTGTCACTAACCAAGTTATATTTTATCCGTTCCAAATCGAGATCTCTTAAATCAGTAGTGACAGTCATGACTAGATTTCTTAGCTCGATCATTGCTCCAAGAACGTTATCATATTCATAGAATACCATCAGACTGGAAAACTCAATACTGTCATCAACACAGTAATGATCGTGAATCTTGAAGCAATGATCATAAAGTATAGTGTTTCGGCTGATAGATTGTGAATGGCTATTATTTCTAATGCAAGGAAACGCCGCTATATTCTACCAGAGACTGCAGAATTTTTTCTCATGTAACTTAGATTTTCTGGTAGTGTGTATCCCACCAGACTCATTTAGAATTGATGTAGCCAATCTTACCTAGTAGTGATATACCTATAGCACAGTTTAACGCTAATAGACCTCATTTCGTACGACTAAGCAGGCGTAACCAATTATTGATTTTTTATAGTACTTGCATTATTATTGATAGCTAACTAGGTGAACTAGGTCTATTAGCGTGATACTGTTCTCAAAGCATGAAAGCTATGCGCTCTGCCAACAAGCCCCCAAGCTGTCACCCGTCCCTAGCTGTCACTGCAATTTGAGTTACGTTCGTCCTAGTACCCCGCAATTGCTATATAGTGCTCGCCCAGAGAAACGACTTGTTGTCTTCCAACGATCTAAAGATTCGAATTATGGGTTGGTTCATAATATCTTGTAATATCGAATATCTAACAGATGAAGACATAAGTCTCCACCATGTCGTTCATATCCAACATCGAGTCCAACATCACATCACAAAACTTATGTTTGAGACTGTTGGTGAATGTCTGGAGGTGAAACAAACCTCAGTCTCCTTTAGTATCGTTTGATCATCGTTTTTTGATTTCTATTCGATGTTTTCACTGTGTTAGATCCGAGAACATAATTGTTGAAGTACAGATTCTAGAATCAATTTCGAAAATAATAATCTGTTATTCATTGACAACAAAGTTTGTACTGTGGCCTGAAACAGAGATATGTTCAAGATGGTAGCTTGGAGGCGTATAATCTATTGCAGTAGGGAGTATGTGTGAAACATTTATTCTCATATCCTAGACATTGACTAGGTAAACATATTCAGATGAATACAACTTATATATTTTCACAGGTCATGCCTGAAAGAAGTTATTCCGTGGATATAGTTGATCGCTCAATGTGATTGTGTTGCTAAAAACGTTTGGAATTGTATTTACTATAGCTCATTTGTGATACATCAGCATAGATGTAGCAGAAAGGAAAATCGGTCATATTTATAGAAAAAATGGTAATTTTCAGATGGACTGGACACAAGCAGATGCACCACTAGTTAGTTTTCGTATAGATTGAGGAGAATAAATCAATAAAGTGCTTCCTCACGTGAGCAGAGTTATACCACTGATTTATATATAGCAACAAGTCTTTATCCACAAAGTTCAACTAAGCAATACAATGTTTTGAATATTGAGATCGAAATACTACTACAGAAAACATAATCTTCTCAAAATAAATTCATGTTTTGGGGG